TGACCTCCCGAATGCTGCAGCCCGCTCATGGAATGACTATAGGCTCTTTGCAAATGGGAAAAGTACCAGGAGGCTCCACAATATGAAGATTCGTGCAAGACCCGAAGGAGGCAGGAGGTTGCTGTGTGGCACGGAGCGGGCTCTGCTCCCCAGGAAGGGGCTGGGGCACATCTGGCCACCTGGCTGGGGACACGGCCATGTTCCCATAGCATCATGCTGCATCTCTGGTGTTCTGCAGCCAGTTTGCAGGACGGAGTCTGCAGGAAGGTGTACCTCCAAATCTGGGATGAAGGAGCCATCCTTCCCAGGAGGGTAACCACTGCAAGAGTGAGCCCTAGTGCTGGACCAGAGAATTACGGTGGCATCCTGCCCACCATTTAGGGTGATGTGTTCCTTGGGGGGGATGTGGGACCCAGTCCTCAAAGATGTTCCTGGAGAATCGGGGATGGGTAGGTGTTTAAATAGGGGTTAGTTGTTTGGGGGCTGGACAAGGATGTTGGAAGTCCTTTCCTGCTGTCAAGTCAATAGTCCTGTTTCCATCTTGCTGGTAACTCTTTGCTCTTGCGCGTGAGAGCCAGCTCATAGCATGATTCTGGAAACTCCCGTTTCCTCTGTTGTTGAAGAAAACGTTGTGAATGTGTCTGGAACAGAGACTGCTGAGGAGCCAGGGCTGTTGTCCCACCTCATACTGTGATTTTGTCTTCCCCTGACTGCATTCACCTCTTTTGCTTCTTTACTCCCATTGCAACTCTCCCAGTTTGGGGCTTTTCCCAGGAAGAACTCAATGAGGGTGATGTCATGGAGGTGACGTTGGCTGTGTGTGGAGCACGCCTGTCCCTGCCTCCTCGCTTGGCTTTACGGCACTGGCCCAGGTTGCCCAGAGAAGCTGTGGATGCCCCATCCCTGGAGGGGGTCAAGGGCAGGCTGGGTGAGGCTTTGAGCAGCCTGGGCTGGTGGGAGGTGTCCCTGCCCACGGCAGGGGGGTTGGGACTTCATGATCTTTAGGGTCCCTTCCAACCCAAACCATTCTGTGATTCTGTGATTCCCATTCCCGGTCTAACAGCCCAGCTGTCACAGCGTGTTCCCGGGATCTGAACAAGAAGATGGAGTTTGGCTGTGGGGGGATGGCAGGGAGGAGTGCTGGAACTGCACGACCAGGGTGGGACTGTGGGAAAACACCAGTGTTAGTATTTATGCAAAAAACTGCGGTAGCCTTGCAGGGCTGTGGATGCCAAGACTGCTGGCCATAAATCACGCCCTGACGCCCCGCAGCTCCTCGGCAGCTGAAATGTGCTTTTAACCCTACACTGGCAATTCCCAGTGGCAGAGCCAGAAGCCTGTTTGGATGGTCCTGCAGGGGCACAAAGAGGAGGAATGTGTTCTGTGGTGCACAGAGCATCCTCAGCCCTGCCAGTCGCTGTGGTCCCCACTCAGCCATCCCAGTGGAAAGTGAGGATGTGGGGTGGCATCTGATGAGTTATAGGAAAATGTGTTTGGGCTAAGTGCGTGTATGAGAGAGGAAAATGGTCTGAAGTCAAGCGACGCCTTGTTCTGATCTCCTCCATCAGCAGAAGCATCGCTCCACACCTCTACCCACCTAATTGTTGTTTTTTCTTGTAGCCAGACCCATTAAGTGTCCCTTTCTTGTCCTTGCAGTTCTTCACTTGCCTGGTGATCCTGTTTGCCTGCGAAGTCGCAGCTGGAATTTGGGGATTTGTCAACAAAGACCAAGTAAGACAACTCCGAAACGTGCGTTTGTGGTACTGGGAGGCTGGGACAGAACAGCAGCAGATCCCAGCATGAGCTGGTTTGCTCCAGGACTGAGTCACGGGGGCTCAGATTTGCGGTGTGAGCCGGGCAGGTCACCCCATCCCTCTTGGTCGGGCCGGTGAACTTTAAATGTGAGCACTCGATGGGAGCAGCTGCCCTTACGGTATATGGTGCAATGTCTGGAACAAAAATAGCGCTGTCTCCCTTGGGACTGCCACACTGTCAGTCACAGTGTGACATTCATGGGTGAAGCTGTGAAGGGAAACCATCTGCCCGTCCTGGGTGCCAAAGGGCAAAGAACAAGCCCAGCCGCCTGGCCCCGAAGGGAGGGAATACCATCCGGGAGAGCCGCGTCCGCATTAACGGGATTGCGTGATGCTTCCTGCTCTTTGCCAGTATCACATAACCTGCTTCGGGCTGTGTGTCTGCCGGGACCCAGCTTGCTGCTGGGCATGCACGAGGGGTAGAAGTCGTGTCTGTGCCAGGCACCCTGCTAGGGACCGCTCGGGTGAGGCCCTCTGGCTGGAGGGGGTTAGATGAGGGGCAGGACTGAAAATTGCAGCTTTCCACCTTCCCTTTGTGCTCGCCTTCCCTTTGCTGCGCTCACACACATGCAGAGTTTGGTCTCAAAGAGAAAAACTCTCAAGGCGTGGGACCGTGGCCATGCTCTGGCAGAAGCGCTGGGTGCTCATCGCTCCGCCGCAGGGTTGGGAGGAGAGAAGGGGGCTGCTTGTGCTCAAAGCCAGGGTTAGGCTCTGTAGCAGAGTGGGAAATGTGTTTACTTTACTGAGAGATGTAAGGCAGCTGCGTGAGGAGGTGGTGGCTGCTCAGCCTTTGTAGGACACAGCTGAGCAGCTGGGCTGTGAATGGGAACACCCTGGTAGTCATTGACCAGAGAGAGCATGACTTCACCCAAATAAACTTTTCCGTAGTTCAAGGTACTATTATGCAGGCAGGGTGCTGTTTCCTAGCAGCTTTGGTGAGCTAATGAACCTTTGCAGATGTTAGTTTGTGAATCCTGAAGGGTCCGAGATGGGCGACTGAACCAACACCAGGAGGAGTGAAGCCCAAGGAAGGAGGGACCCACCCCGTGGTTGTTGCTCGCCATGCCCTTGGCCATCAGAGCATCAAGTTTAGGATTTGCCAATGCAAGAGCGATGACCTCAGCCGCTTAAAATTAATTTTTCAGTTTGCAGTGAATGGTGGCAGCTGCTTTTGCAGCCGTGCTGATGAATGGGCTGTTCGGCAGACCCCGCTCTCAGAGCAGGCAGCTTGCTTCTCCCCGCCGCGGTCGGGGGCATCTCAGGAGCGACATGGGCTGGGAGGGAAGCGCTGGATGATCCACCGGGGTTTGCAGCCCCTTCTGGGGACAGTCATTTCCTATCACAGGAGGATAGAATTAGAGGATGTGGGCAGAGGATGCTCTTCCACAAAGCTGGAGGTGGTCTCTCCCTCAACCTGCCTTCTTGGAGATGCTTTACATACAGGATGGGGAGGCAAGAAGTAGGATTATTATTTTGGTTTTTATCATATAGCAGAATAAAATGGCATGATTGGAGAACATTGCCCTCCAAAGCAAACCTTTTTGAGCAGTGACAGAAATGCTGGGATAATTGATTGAAACCACGCCCCTTCTTGCTGCAGTTTCTTTTTTCATGCGCTAATCCAGCCTGTGCGGCCAAGAGTAGATGTTCTAGAAAGCATTTTCCCTTTCGGAGTTGCTTGTATTTTTTTTTCTTTTGCTTTTCTTGGATGTCCTCCTTTCCTCTGTCTCTCCCAAATTATTGGAGGGCATTAGAGAAGAAGCCCCAAGGCCAGTTGCCCTGAAAACAAGAGGTTTTTTTGCACTGTGGAGCAGACCCCAGGGGTGGCTGCAGTGTCCCCGCCTTGGTGGCAGGGGTGGATGAGATCTCTCACAGAACCGTTTACAGGACGGGGGTGCCTGCTTGCTTTGTGTCCTTGGTGGTTCAGAACAAGCCCTTCCCACATCCCTGAGCCCAACAGCAAATCCACGAGGGCTGAAGGCTGGCTCAGCTCTTGGGGTTCATCTCCAGGGCTTGGCCGTCTGAGACGGTGGAACACTGGGGCAGCGTGGGCTGGAACCTGCTGGCGGGGGGATGAGGTCCTTCATGTTTGCTGCTCTTTACACACTGCAGCCGGAGGGACTTGAGCCCTGTGACAGACGGGCCCTTTTTCACTCACCTGTGCAAATAATTGGGCTCCAAATCTACTGAAAAACTGCGAGTGCCACTGGAGGGAAGCTGTCCCTTCCAGGCACATCTGCTGGGTGGGTTTCTCCTCCTCCTCTGGCTGACAGGGAGTTTTTCCCCCGTCTTTCCTAGATAGCCAAAGACGTGAAGCAGTTCTACGATCAAGCGTTTCAGCAAGCGCTCATGGCAGACTCGGAGACGAAAGACGGGAAAGCTGTAGTGAAGGCCTTCCACGAAACGGTAAGGCTGCGCGCTCTGCTGGGACTGCGGGCAGCTGGGCAAAGCACCGCTGCTGGATGGGGTCCTGCAGGCTGCGAATCGCCCCCGTTACCTTCTGCGGGCGGTTTGGCGGTGGGTGGGTGGCGAGGAGCGGCTGGTGCTGCACATAGGCTGCTCCTCCCCACCAAGGCAAGAAGTTGCACCGCAAGTCCTTGGGCAGGGAATGAAGGCAGTGCTGGATTGTTGGATGCTTGGGAGCAAACTGGATCCAGTGTGTTCTCAGCACTGGGATTGTGCTGCCTGCTTGCCAGGCTCTGTGGAGAAATCTCCTCTCCGTAGGAGTTTCTTGCAGCCAGAGGGAAATAAGAATGTGGGAGGAAGGAGAATGAAAACTGGGGGGTCAGGAAAATGGATGGGAAAAGCAGGGTCTGAAGCAGATGATGCTCCATGCAGGTCTGAGCCTGTCGTGTTGGCTGGTGTTACCTGTCAAGAAGAAACAAGGGTTGTCCCTCTTCAGCACTGTCCACACTGGGCTGGGACGTCTGGCCCGAGCTCTAATTAAGTTGCTTTTCATTTACCTCAGCGCCCCTGATTTAAGTTAAAATTCAATGGAAGAAAAATGTTGCTTTGAGGAACTAATGTAAAGACTTCCTCTGCTCATCAGGAAACAAAAATCTCTGGAGAGAACTGGGTTAACTCTCCTGCAGGATGGTGATGCCAGACCTGTCTGGGATTGTTGTAGGAGGCAGCTGCCTTGCACGGAAAGAAAAAAATTGAATTTGGAGAGTTATTCCCCCTCCCTTGTTTCCTCCTCTTTCTTGGGCTTCAAGGATGTTTAATGGTGGGGAGAGCATGGCAGGAGTGTTTGCTGTCTGCTAACGCTATTTTATGTTGGTGTTTTTTGTTTTTGTTTTTGTTTTTTTTTCTCTCCATGTAGCTGGACTGCTGTGGTCCCGATAATGCCATAGGAGCCATCCCTCCCCTGTGGAGAGACGACCTCTGCCCAAAGGACTCCATCCTGAAAAGCTTTCTGGAGGTAGGCACGGCTGCTCCTCCCTCCGCGCAGCTCCTGCGGGGAAACTCGGCTGCGAGGGGAATTTGGGGATTTATTGGGAATTAGAGAAAGGGTAGAGATTTCATTTATTTGGGGATGGTGTAGAGGGATGTTGGAGGTTCCTGGTGGTGCTTCCTCTGCTGTTCCCGCTTGAGGGGGCTGGTCCTAGAGGCAGGAGCCAGGAACACGAGCAGGATGGGATGGGGGGAGAGCAGCCCAGCCTTTTGGGGTGCTGGGGGCAGGTGAGGGGAAAGTGGGCTCTCTGACCAGCGTGCTTCTCTGTTTCAGTCCTCGAACTGCCACAAAAAAATCGATGAGCTGTTCTCCGGGAAGCTGTACCTGATCGGTATCGCTGCCATCGTGGTCGCTGTGATCATGGTGAGTGTGACAGTACCCTGCTGTTGTGGGACAGGGAAAAGCCCCCTTGGGGTGCCCCGATCCTGTCCCAGCTGGGCTGGATCCGTCCCTCACCTCTGGACACCCCTGCAGCTCAGTGTGAACCCCCCACCCGCTGCCCCCTGGCTGCTCTGGGACATGGTGGGACCGAGGGTTTCATCATCCTTCAGAGGGCTTCATCGCCCCCCCGAGGGGTCGGGATGTAGGCAATTGCAGGAAAGCAGGAGCAGAGCACCTGCAACCCCATCCTGAAGGGGAGAGCACTGCCAACCCTCCTCGCTGCCCCCAAGCCCCCTCATTTCTCAGCCCACTGTGTTGTGTCCCTGGGGTCTGCAGCAGGAAGGGATTTGCTTTCTCTGCCACGGTGGGTTTGCTCCCCAGCGAGCCGTGGGTGGCATGGGCTGGTGACAGCACCTGTGCAGTGGCTGGGCTGTGATGCTCCAGGGATCTCAAAGCGTTTGCTGCTCACCTGGTAGCCAGGAGGGTTGCAGCGACCACCGCTGCTGCCAACGAGAGGGGAGAACATCATCTGATACAAATAAAAACAGCAGTGAGGATAGAGCATCTCTGTCCTTATCTCTGGTGTGGGGGTGTTTATATAGAGTGGAGGACCTCAGGATGGGGGGAAGCTCACGCATCGTATGGGTTGGTGCCTCACTGGTGGCCTCAATGTCTCCCAACAGATCTTCGAAATGATCCTGAGCATGGTGCTGTGCTGTGGCATAAGGAACAGCTCCGTCTACTGAGCCGTGAGAGCCGGGGAGGGGAAGGGGGGAGCAGGGTGAACGGCGCTAGAGGGGACCCCAAGTGCCACCCGTGACCAGGAGACATTTCAACAAAAGACAAAGAAACCTATGTATATAAATACTTCCAATATTACCATGCAGTACTTATCATTTTTATTTCAAAGTACTTTTTTTTTTTAAATAAATAAAACTTCCCCGTATCCTTGTGGCTGAGTTAGTTACACATCAGTTTTGTGTGATGGGGAAAGCTGCTGTAGCGAGAGATCAAGTCCTTCCTCCCCCTTCCCCACCCCTCGTAACTCAGAAGTAACATTGGTGGAAGATGTACAGAGGAGAAGGCTGCAGCCTGTTAGCAGAAAACTTTGCCTTGGTTTTTACTCTCTTTTTCAACATCGACTTTTTTTATATACATAATTGGATGCTGAAGCAGGATTTAGCATTTTTGTTCATTTGTACTCATCTGTTTTCCTACCATCACCCCATTTCCCCGGCGTTTCCAAGCTGTCTGTAGGGAAGCCTGGCCGGCTGCCGGAAGCCTGGGAGGGAGGAGAGGGAATTGCTGGGGTGCGATGTGTCCTGGGGAAACGCCGGCGCGTTGTTCCTCCCCGACCTGTGTGCATCGCCAGGTCAATCCTTAATACAAGTCATGCTTAAATTTTAGTCTCTGAAGAGTGGGAATGTTTTGAGGTTTTTGTTTTTGTGTTTTTATCTTGGGGCTATAACGTTATAAATTGGCTCATTTCCATTGATTCACTACATGAAAGGGTCAGTGGCTGAGGGTGAATTTAGTCCCAGTTTTTCAAATATAACAAACAGGAAATTAAGTCATTTTTTTAACCTTCTTCAGTGTTTCTTTATAGACATATGTTTTTGGGAGATTCTAGTTCTGTACTAAGTTTTCACTGTTAAGCTAATGCTTGCATACAAATTATATTGGAAAAAAGAAGAAAACTTAAAAAAAAAAAAGTCCTTAACCTTAGAAATCCTGCATTTATGTATTGCAGGATGACGCTTGGGGGTTCCCAGCCCTATGCATACATGTTTAAAATTTAATCTTTGCATCACTCTCTTGTTCAATGAAAAATTCTTTACTTCTAGCATATTGTCGCACACTGTAACCTTGCTGGGAAATTGGCATAAGCTGATTTTGCAGAAAAAAGAATTATTTTTAAGACCTTCCAGTTCCATCAACAGCAGGAGATCAGCTTATCAGAGCAAGGGAGTTCAGGATTTTAGATCGCACCAGATGAAACACTTTGTTGTGAGCTGGTAAGCTTTGATTGCCAATTCGATGTGTGTGGCTCCTGTTGTTTGCCACTCCGTTACCATGTAGATAGAGGGTGAGAGTGACCCAGGAGCTATGTGAGAAAATCAGAGTGTCTCTAAAAAGATGATCTATATGTATAGTTCTATAGATATATATTTTTAAGCAAAGCCTTTTCCTTAGCCGTACAGGCGCTTGAGCTGGAAATGAAAGTAGCTTTCAGCTCTTTGCCACCTCCAAGGAGGTAAGGGGAGGAGCTGAAATTCGTGATCACCTTCCCCACTTCAGGAATTATTTCTGTTTCTTAAAGTATGTTGCTCTCCCCGTTCGCTGCAACAAAGAGCTCCAGGTTGGATCGGGAGGGAGACCTGTGATCATTTTAAACTAGTACCTTGTCCTGGCTGCCGTGGCTTTTGCCAGGAAATTCCTGCACTGGGGCAAACTGATCCATTTGGAGGCTTTTCTCCCCTTCCACTCCCCCCCTTTCCTCTTCCTGCCTTTTACTATATAGGGCCTTTAAAAAATATATAGGTAAATATATATAGATATATATCAAGTTGTGCTGGGTAAGAGGAGGAAGCGCTTCAACAGAACTTCAGATTGAGGGGTTGGACGAGAAAAGATTCAGCCTTAGAAATAGCCTTAAAGCAACACTGCCCTGAATGTCCACGTCGTGCACATCGAGGAGGAGATAAGGTTTTACAGTAGGTAACCCCTTCCCTGCTCCCCCGCGTAGCTCCTTCAGGTCATTACTCTGTTATGTGCTATATGTATATGCATCAGCCAAGCATGTGTGTTTACATGACCGTGCATCGGGATCGTTAGCATACAGAATGGATGTGTAACTTGCCGCCTTTTTTTGTTGACTGTTGATAAATGTGTATAAATATGCCATTAAGCATTTCAATTCTGTTTTCTTTCCTTATACCGCATTTTTGATATTGTTCAGCATTCAGTTGATGCTGTAGAAGTAGCGGGAGCTCTGTTTGAAGACAGACTGGGTCTCGATGCAGGTCAGGTGTGTCCCTTAGGGGTCTGGGTTGTCCCATGCGGGAGCAATTGGGAGAAAGTAGTACTCAGAGAGGGAGTTCGACAGCTGTGGAAGGAAGAAGAGCAGGATGGTTGTTCAGCCCGTGTCCCCATGGGCTGCAGTTTGCTCTCTGGCTCATTTCAGAGGTGGCTTGGCGCTGTGGGGAGCTCCAGCAGCAGCTCTGCAGACCACCTCCTGTCTCTGCAGCTGCTGTGGGAAAGGAGGGGAGCAGCTGGGAAGGTGGTGGGAGGGGGCAGAAGAAGTTTTGCAGGGCAGGGTGTTGCTTTCTTTAGTTAATACCTGAGTGTCCCCGTGTTCCAACGATATGATCATCAGCTGTAGCAGGAGGGGTCAGCCCCTGGGAGAAGAGGGAAGGAGAGGAACCATCATGCTTAAGAATGGAAAAGTAGATGAGAAACCCTTGCGGAGAAAAACACCCACTTGGGTCTCCTCTAGTCCAGCCTCCTGTGAAGCTGGACCTGAGTTAAAACAAACTAGAGAGGGAGCTGTGAAGGGCTAAGGGACTCGATCCAAAAGTGACAGGGCTCTTGTGCCAGGTCGTTGGTCCCAAAGCTGGCTGAGGTGAAGAGGAAAAACCCAGGAGGTAGGACCCCTGCCCTGTCTCAGACCCTCTCCTGCACAGCTGGGGCCTCATCCTGCTCCCCTCTATGCCCCAAAAAAACAAACTAAGGATGGAATTGTGGGCTGTAAACCTTTCCCTCTCCAGGGAAGCGTCCTCCTGGAGCTAGTGACAGCTGAGAAAATGGCTGTAAGCTGAGGCAGGGAGGAGGAGAGGCTGGTGGGGAAGAGAGTCAGCTCTCCAGGTCTGAGTTCAAAGACCACATTGGAAGGTCAAACAGAGCCCCTGACAGCTTAACTGAATGCTTGGGATTTTTTCATACTGTGGAGCATGCCACAAATCAGCGTGTTTAACTTCTTTCTGCCTTTTTTTTTTTAAAGAAATTAAACAAAAATCAATTTAATAAACATTTCTCATAGTGTGCATAGTGTGCTGAAGCGCTGCAGTTTTACAACCAGTTAACCTTAACACCAGGATGCTTTGTGAACCAGGCTTCAACAGCATGGGTTTTTCCAGCCTCCGGGAGGGGGGCCTGCAGGCGGGCTGGGGATGCATCCAGAATGGTGCTGAGGGAAGGCAAAAAGGTCGCTCACCTTTGCTCAGGTGGCTGCTGCAATTCCTTCAAAGGAAGGAGGGCACAGCTGTGGGGAGCTACTGTGGATTGCAAAATAGGGTGACTGTGCTGAAATTCAGGGGGCTTCTGTGGCAGTGCATGCTCAAGGGGCTTCCCCTAAAGAGACCAGAAATGGCCCAAAATGCCCGCTGCTGCCATCCAACCAGGGGCTGGTCTGATTTTTGCTGATGGTCTGGTGACGCCACTGTTGCTGCCTCTGCCTGCCCCTCTGCACCATCAGGGGAGAGCCCTGCCAAGAGCGAGGGGGAGGCCAAGCGCTGTGATCCCACCACTGCCTGCCGTTCTCTGCCCTGTCTTGGACTTCTCGCTGTGTTTGAAGCAGGAATGTCCCGCGGCGGTTGCCAGCCATCGCCCGTGCTGGTACGGAGAGGGAGGGAATGCCGGGTGAGGGAGAGTGATGTTCATGTGCCGCAAAGAAAGGCCAGCCCTGCTCCCGGCGGCTGTGTCCGTGCTCCGAGATCATGCCCATCTGTTGTTCTTTCACTTGTTTACCTGAATGTTAATGGAGTCAGACATAATGACTTCTGGAAAGAAAAAAAAAAAAGTGATATTTAAAAATCAATAAAAAAAGAAACAAAGCAAAACCCCTTGTTAGCAGATTTTTAATGATGTGTTGTTGTCAGATCTTGTTTCTTTCCATTGCATACTGATTTCTGCCATGTCTTTCAAGGGAACAGGCTTGTCTCGTTCTTTTATTTGAGCAAAATTAGGGCTGCAGGGAATGCAGTCCTTAGCTGACCCTCTGGGTGGTTTCCCATGAAAGGGATGCTCTTTGCCTTAAAACATTTGTATCATGGTGCTGTGTTGTTGCTCCAGATGGGGATAAAATGATTCCTGCCTCTGGAGCTAGGATTAAGCTGACGTGAGTCACTGTCAGACTCAGGGTTGTGTTCAACAGCGGGAGAAATGATACCAGAAACAAACTGGCAAAGCACAGTGCATATTTGGCATCCAGGGTGTGTGTCTTGGGACCTCAGCCTGGAAGCATAGCTGGGATCTTAAACCTTCCCTGGCTGAGCGGAGTCCGCTCTGCTGGCACCGCAGCTCTGAGGATTAACGCCAATGTGCTCAGAACGGATGAGTTGTACGTGATGCTTGAGATGCTGGGAGAGGCCTGGACAAGCCAGCCCCTTTAAGGTGCTGTTAAGGGGAGATGTGGGTTATTCTTGGAAAACAGCAGTCCTGCTGTGTAGGAGCATGTGAGGCCACGCGGATAAACCGCTGTGAGGGGAAGGGGTGGGTGGAACGCTGGCAGCCCGCTTGTTCTCATTTTGCACTGACAACCCTGGCTTACGCTTCTCCTAAAGATTTTTCTCCAAAGGCCTGAAGGACTTGGAAAGTCACTGGAGACCTTACTGTGGACTTCAGATTCCTAGGAATATGACTGTAGATTTTTTTTTTTTTTGGTGAAACAAGAATTTTCACAGAATAAAAATACAAGTGTGAATTTTTCCAAGCTAGACCAAGCTGGGATTTTTTCCAGTGGAATTCTTTTCCTCCCCTGTGCTAAACTTTTTAAACAAGAAACTCTCGACTGTTTCTAAGGAGAAGTTTTGGAGGTACTTTTTGCTTTGGCAAGCTCTATTTTGTAAGCCTCTTCTGGGCTGTTTGTGTTGTAAGGAGCAATGTGCCTAATTGATTCCTACTCAGACAGCTGGGACTAACACATAAAAATTGCTTCTGTCCATTCCCTAATAAGAGGTTTTCTAAGCTCTTACAAAGATTTGCAATATTCCCACAGGAAGGAAAAAACCAGCCAGCTCCCCCATGCGAGAGCTGTTGATGGCGGAGGTTTCTGCAGAGGAAAGCGCCCGTGCTGTTGGATCCTGACCGCACCCTGCCTCTGCCTGCCGGCTCCGCTTGCCAGGCTTGGTGATGAAGGATGGGTTAGATAGAAGCTGTGCTCAAATTCATGCTCGGAACTGCCGTTCACTTT